TCCTGCTGAGGGGCTGGCTGTACGACATGTAGCTAGCGTCTAGCGTAGCCTCTCATTCAGATTTCGTAGTTCGTAATTCACGTCGTAGGCAGCTCCGAGTCCCTCGCCTGTATTGTATTGCAGCTTTGAAAATTGCTCGCATGCATGCTGTAACCGTGCGTCTCGCCCTGGCAGACACGGCCGGCACCCATTCGCACGAGAAAGCTTCAGAGCATTTCACTCTTCTCCACGTACCTCGAGGACCACAAACCGAATCGCATATTGTTCATTGTGTGAGTGACATGGATACAAACCCAACGAACTTGGTACATGCTATGCAAAGGCTCTGAGCCAAGATCAACAAGCCACCTTTGCAGGATCTGGACGACGCGAAAAGATAGCCTTCAGCTTTGCCGCGTCCACCTTCCACTCGCGTCGAGGGGTGAGCAGACCATTGACCTTCACGGAAATTGCGCAGAGCAGAGGCCATTCATTGAGCATTACGAATCGGCACCCATATCGCGGTCCTTGGTCGCAACGACTCACCTCCGTCTCGATATCTGCCGTCTGCGTGTACACGTAGCCGTCGATATGTAGCGGCGAGTCGACTACGGCGCTGACGAGCCCTTCCAATCTCGCCAGCAGATCCTCTTCCGATGTAGCCTCATTATAGCCCCACGCATTCTGCGCCGGCATAAGAGTCAGGAGATTCCACGACTCGTCAATAAGCTCACGCATCCAAATACAACAGCGCCGCCCCCCGACATACCTCGTTGCTCTTGCTGAGATTGATGGCAACCCCGCCAAACTCGCTCAGTATCAGCGGTTGCCCCGAATACTTGTTTTCGCTCCCCACAAACCCAGGTCTGCCAGCTTTGGGCCCCAACACCGTGTCCAAGCTTGCGCACGTTTTTTTCAGAGCGGCATACTCTGCGTAGTCGTGAAAGGTGAACAGGTCGGTGGTGACGTGTTCCCAACCATCATTGTCCGAGATCAGTCTGGAAGGGTCGATGGACTTGATGTGGTGGTATAGTGCGGCGATATGGCTGCGATGCGTCTCAGACGTTTGCAGCTCCGGCACGCCCCAAGACTCGTTGATCGGAGTCCACACCACTACGCTAGGATGGTTGATATCCCGCCTGATGCTGGCGGTAAACTCTTCTATGAAGCGCAACGAGTAGGTGGAAGAGTAGTCGTAAGCGTTTGCCGCTTCACCCCACACCAGGTAGCCAAGCTGGTCTGCCCAGTAGTGATAGTACTTTAAATCAAAATTCATCACGTAAGCCTCAACGATCTTCGCGTGCGAGGTGAGACGAAGGTGCTTACGGGATCTTCCACCTTCTGGTGCTTTCGAGCGCCGCTGGCGAATAGACGTCATGATCAGCAAGATCGCGATGCTGGCTAGTCTAGAAACAACACTCACTTCATCCCGATCGACTTCATCTTCTCGATATCCACCTGATAAAGGTTCAGGTTGTCTGCCGGTGAGCCGAGTTTCCCTGCTCGAGAGTAACATTGCTACGCACCTTGAGCGCTTCAGCCGTCGGCGGAGTCAGACCGCTGTCAGGCCAGTAGCCCTACGCAAGAGGTGAGCACCGTCAGTCAGCCGGTTTCGTGGGACTGGCGCTCCCTGATGTACGCTCACCTGGTCAAGGTTCTGCAGAAGGGGGAGATCGAAAAGCATGTGATCTCTTCGAGTGAGCAGTCCGTACAGATTGCGAGCTCTTCTGCAGTGCTCACCAAAGCCATAAAGTAAGGCTTGTTGTTCAAGCAGAAGCGTCCATTGATCACGCTGACCTTTCGCATTCCAGCATAGGTCCGTACGGTATCCAACACGACCGAATCGGTCTTGGTTCTTAGCCTGAGCGTAACATCGTACAGCGTCGGTGTCTCTGGGCTCCACAAGGCCAAGCCATTCGTCCAAGCAAGTCGATGCACCTCGGGCGGAAAGGTCAAAGGTCCGCTCAAATTTGTGCGAGCCTTTTCGGGAGGTGAAGAAGCTGGAATGCGGACGCTGATCACCGCCAAAGCTTCAGATGTGCTCGAGCCGACAGTCACTGTCGAAGCGCTGATGGTCGTGCCCAACAGCGAAACTTCCACTTCGAGCTGCCCTTCCAAACCTTTGTGCAGACCCAACGTCTCGGCTCGAACGCTCAGAGTGCCCGTATCGATGTCTGGCACCAGCGTGAAATGCTCGATGCGGGCTCGAGGAACACGTTCCACCCAGACGCTTTGCCAGATACCTGCGGTCGATGAGAAGGAGAGATGCGGTGATGAGTCATGATGTTGACTGTTACGAGACAAGCTCTGTTCATTTGGCTGGCTGGCTGGCTCACCGGTGGTAGGATGGTAAAAGATGCTTTCTGGCTGAGCGCGCCAGTACTGCTTGCCACGAGGCTGGGTAAGGTCGTGTGGCGCGTCGCGAGCCCTCACTGTAACAGAGGCGTGCGTCTTGTTGGCATCCCTGGCAGCTTGAAGCACGTCGGTTATGTCGGCGTGAAAGGGAACATGTCCACCTCGATGCTCCACCACCAACTCTCCCTCCACCCACACTTTCGTCTCGTAATCCACCGCTCCGAAATGCAGCAGCACCCTCTCTTCATCCCGTATCGCCTCTTGCACCAAGAGCTGCAGCATAGAAAATTGACGAGCGTACCACACCACTCCGCATGCTCTCTCATCGTTCAAACCCGAAGCTGGGGTCTGATGAGCAAAAGGAACAATGATCTGCTTGTCCAAAGCGGGATGGACAGCTCCTTGCGCACCTCCTCTATTCCAGCGCTCATCAATGCCTCGATCCTCCTCGTCAAAGGCAAAGGCCCACGTGCCATTCAAGACTTTGTGCGGGTAATCTGGACGAACCCTGTCCGGTCTAGGGTACTCCGGGCGAGGAATGCTGGCAGTGTCGCTCATTGTACAGAGATGAGGGCTTGAAGCGTAGGGTTGAGACTTGATTCGGACGCTGATTGTTCTGCGAACGCTTGGCTGTGTCGCTGTATGCTCCTTGCTTGCATACCAGCTATAGAGATGTTGTGATAGGTCAAAGGCTGGCTGTGCTGCAGGCGCTTCTGGCGTGCGAGATCGTGTTACAGTGGGCGAGACGACCTGCAACGGCCTCGAGGTGAACAGTCACCAGTCACGAATCACGATCGCGAGTCTTTTTAGAGGTCCGAGGTAAGAAGGCCCGCGCTGGCGCGGCCGGTGTCATCTACAGTCACAGTAGTATATAAGCTGCAACCAAGTGGAGGGCAGTGTGAATGCTGTGCGCTTCTCTCTGCTGCAACGGCACAACAATTGTGCATCATCGCGAATCTCGAATCGTGAATGTAGACGCACGGATCACTACGCGTCACCGTCACACAACCACGATTGCTGTGATGATTTCTGGCAGAGATGGCAGCAGCGGGAGCACAGGGGCGCGCGCGCATCGAAGACAATCAGAACTTGGCTCTTGATGAATCACAATCACTACTGAATGTGAATTTTGGAACAAAATTCAATCTCTATGGAACATTTATGGAGGCTTGCTGCATCATGTCGCATTTCGACCTCAGCACACCATTCACACAAGCACAGCGGGCGCAATAACAGGGCGCGGGCGGCAAGGCGCCTTTTGCAGCCCAGCATGCACGCCAGGACGACGGCGATTGTAATCTCACTCGTCGAGTGAGAGCACGGGAGAGCACAGGTGGCGCCACGCAAATGCTGGTGCTCCAAAGCTTGCATCGTGCGTCCAGCTTGCTACGTTCGATCTATTACTTTCGAATGCTGTCGGATCGAGTAGCCAGAGAAGTGCGGGAAGGGTCAGGCAGGTGAGGTCTTCAGTACATGTGATGCGAGATCGAGGTGTTTATCGTCAAATGCAGAACGGAGAAAGGAAAAAGGTGGACGAGATTGTAGGGATGGGGGGCTAGTATAGCCGCACGACGAAGACCGAAAGGCCAAACAAAGCGATGTGCGGGCCAGTTGAGCCAAGGAAGTGTCGAGCATTTGCCCCCTCCTTCTTACATGCCACCATTTCCTGGCCACCCGAACGCATATGTGCGCGAGATTTGATGTCACCGCCGTGTCTAAGCTCTGCCGAAGCGGGGGAAGAAAGGGATCGCCAAAGATCCTCGCTTAGCCCTTGTGGGTCTTGAAGGCGACCAGACCACCTAGCGCAATAGCGTATCCGAAGATTTGCAGTCCAGTGATGGTGCTTCCCAAGAAGAAGACGGATGCGAGGATGAGCATGATGTCCTTGACGACGCCAGCCAGGGTGAGGGTGAGACTGCTAGCCGCTCCGATAAGGAAGACGGCGGCAATGTTGAGAGCAAACGCGACACCTGCGTTGGTGACGAGGACAAAAGGTCCGAGCTTGGAAATGTCCAAGAAGGGTGCCAGACCTTCGGTAAAGATCAATAGAGCCGTGTTGATGGCTGCGCAGACTGGCGCAAAGTAGTAGAGAGAGACTAGAGGATCCATCTTGAGACCTTGCAGCAGCACTTGGATCATGACCAATCGAGAACTCTCGAAAGCCACTGCAGCTACTTGATAGATGAAACCTTCCATCGCAAATTCGATCTCTCCGTATGAGGCGATAGCCACGCCGAACGAGATGGATCCGACAATTACGACCAGCATGCCGCTCAGCTGCTTGAGGCCAAAGGCGAACGAGATGAGCAGCACTGCAACAGGTGTAAAGGCCTTTTGTTTGACAACGAGGGCTTGGCGTCAGTGCAAGCCGATCTAGGCGAGGTGCTTAAGAGGGCGAGAAGAGCTCACCTTGAGCATCTGGATGAAGCTGACACTTAGGGTCAAGTAAGCCATGTTGCTAGTGACCAGACTAGCAGAGAAGAGGGCACCAATGGGCAGAATGTTCTTGTACCATCTGTCGCTCGTCATTTCCACGTTTGCCAATCCGTCCAGCAGATGTGTGAATCGCGCCAAGAGACGAGTTCCCACAGTCGCAAACGCCATGTGGAAGGTAGTCAGGAAGACCGGGTAGGGAAAGTTTAGTCCTGCCTTGGTGTCCAAGACATACTACAGAGGAAGAGCGGTGGTGCTGGATGTCAGCCTGCAATACTTGGCAGCATCGACCTTTCAAAGGGGCGGCACTCGGCATGG